GATGATGATGATGATGATGATGATGATGATGAGGAGGATGATGATGATGATGATGATGATGATGATGATGATGATGATGATGATGCTGATGATGATGCTGATGATGATGATGATCATGATGATGATGATGATGATGATGATAAGGAGGAGGAGGAGGAGGAGGAGGAGGAGGAGGAGGAGGAGGAGGAGGAGGAGGAGGAGGACCCCCTCTTCTCTGTAGGCCTCCCAGATGGGCCGAGCAGGTGCGGTCGAAGAATTTGCGCCGCATCGCCAGTGCATCGGAGATGTGGAACCAGAATTTCTTCGCGCCGATGCGTCGCCGATGCGTCGCCGATGCGTCGCCGATGCGTCGCCGACGTCGCCGATGCATGGCCGATGCATCGACGAGCCTCCGACCCCATCTGCTCGGAACCCATTTGGTAGGCCTCTGTATTTCCCCAGACCCTCAGGCTCGTGGTGTGCGGTGCCCTGCCGCTCATCTCCCCGCGCGCTCGTGCTCTCTCACTTCGCAGGGTCCACTTCGATCCGATCGATGCGATTCGGTACCGATCAGGAACTATATTCTTGAGGGCACGGCTACAAAAAATGCGCCGCCAAAATGAACCATTGTGCGGCGGGGGTGCCGTGGGTCATTTTTCGCGGGATGTCTCCAGCCAAACCGACGAAACCGTCCATTTTTGGAACATTTCCGCACGTATTTTGGAAAAGGGGGTGCTGTATGTCATTTTTCCGACCCCCCTCGGGAGTGGTTGAGTTTTTGTTCTTTTCTGGAAATCCAATACCGTTCTGTTTTGGGAGCGTTTCCGGGCCCATTTTTAGCAGCCGTGCCCCTGGGAATCTCACTTGCTAACCGATTAGTTTCGATTCGATTCCGATCCGATCTTCCTTCGATCCGATTGGGTACGACGCCGTAGATTCCGATTCGATTCCGATCGTCCTTCGATCCGATTGGGTACGACGCTCGAGTGCCGCTCTTGTGTGCCCTGGCACGGCCGATCCGATTCCATTCCTATTCCATGCCGATGCAGCCCGCTCCGACCTACATTCCGAGTCGATTCCAGTTCCCGATTTGATGCTGGCTGATCCTGCTTCGCCTAAGTCGGGCGTGTCCCTCTACAGGAGGAATAATAAAAAATAGTCAAACAATCGTCAGGTTTTTTTTTGGGGGGGAGAATTTTGCAGCATCTTTGCATGTTTTTTGACAATGTTTTTGATTTTGGCCCAAAATCCGCCTGCAGGAGGACATGCCCGACCTAAGCCCAGTTCCCGATTTGATGCTGGCTGATCCCGCGTCGCTCTCCCTGCCGCCTCCCCGGCGCTGTTGGCGCAGGCATGGCGGCGGCACGGGGCGAGGAGGAGCTCACGCAGGACAGGCTGCCCTCGCCACGCGGCGCGTCGCTTGCCCCAGCAGCGCAGGATCCCAGGCCCTCGCCCCTCCTCCCCACCCCCTCCTCCTCCTCCTCCTCCTCCTCCTCCTCCTCCTCCTCCTCCGGCCGTTTTGGCCCAAGGCGGGCTTGGAGGTGCTGTCTTCAGAACGGCAGTCGCACCTTCGAGTCAATTTTGCGTTGCCCGATCCCAAGGGATCCTCCCTCACAGCTTTCAGTGCGCTCCAGTCGGAGCAGGTGCAGTTTACGAGCCCCAGTGGCACCCCCCATGGCCAACGTCGGCGTCGAAGTCCTTCCTGGACCGAGGACGCTAACGTGGGCTTGTACGTGTGGACGCAACACGAGCTGGGTTTCCAGGATCGTGTCCAAGTGTGGGAAACAGCAGACCCTTCAGAAGCGCGTAGGGCAGCAGAGCAGAACTCTCGTGGCCTCCAGCATCTTCCGGTTCGTGGCGCTCCTGGTGCTGGTAATGTCAACCGTCGAGACGGGAAACTTGCTCAACGTCTGGAGGAGCTCCAGAGGAAGTCTGATCAGCTCATGGCTGGCGGCCTGGCAGTGCGCACCCCCTACTTCGTCGACAGGAGGTGGCGCGGCCAAAGAGAAGGGCCCCAAAGACTAGAGGGAGCATGACCTCCGCGAAGGAATCAAGCAGCTGGAAGTGGCAATCAGCCATGGGATCGTTTTTTATCAATTGTTTTGCCGATCGGCGTGGGCTCCCAACCCCCCCTGCCCCCCCTCCCTTGGAGAAGATCTTGGCTGTTTTTTGGCGCTGGTTTCGAGCGGGTGGAGTCCCCCCAGAGGCAACACTCTTGCAAACAGGCGCACGGATCAGAGGTCCGGAGCCAGAACCCCCGCAATGTCGAAACGCCGAGTAAATAAAACATCCTCGCCATTGTGACAAGCTCGGCGAGTCGGGCAAGGGTGCGAAGGCGGAGTTTGGACGCCAAGCTCGGAGGCGGCACGCCGCGAGCCTGCGCTGTGCAAGCCCCAGCCCCCAGCTTGCTCAGCGTGCTAATGTTAAATCGGGCCGGCCCCTCGTTACTATTCACAACTAGCAAAACATATTCAAGGGACGTTTTTTTTTTTTTTGGGGGGGGGGGGGTGATCATTTGTGAATACTATTTTTGCATGTGTTTTACTATATTTTAGTTTTCGTCCAAAATCCGCCTGCAGGGGGACATGCCTGACCTGATGCTGATGTGGGCCATCGTCTGGCTCATGCAAGTATCAGGAGGCAGAAGTTGAGCAGCGGATTCGAGACCGAGCATCATGTATTCGTGTGGCCCACGGGGATATCGGTGGCGTGCGAGGTCAGGCCACGGCGACCGGCCGCGAGATCGAGAACCGCAACCGCGACCTGGCGTCTTCCCTGGTGTTCCCTGTATTGATATGGAGTTGAATGAGAAGCTGCTGGCACAGTCTGAGAACAAGCGCAGGTCAGCGAGATACTCCAGCCTGAGGCCTTCCAGAAGTTCTCGCAGCTGCTCGCGACCACCTAGCAGGCGAAGGTGGCCAACGAGAAGCTTGCGACGCCCGCGGCAGCGTCGTCTTTAACGGCTGGCGGCCCTGATCTCCATCGTGCTGGCGTCGATCTTGGCGGCGCTGGAGGTGAGGGCCCCCGCTCAATTCCATTACCAGGGCTCGGCGCAGACATGGACCTTGACGACCTCGACGAGGAGACAATCGAGGAGATCTTCCAGGCTGCGATCCGTGTCGAGAAGCGTACCTTCATCGAGTGGTTCGGTAGCAGGCTTGGCAAGACGCCGCGCACTGGGTAGCACGATGCTGCGTCGCTGCTGTGGATTAGTATTATCTACATCCGAAGTTCCTGCTCCACCTCCGCCTCCGCCTGGCTCCCTGTTTTCCTCGCCTTCGCCGCTTGGCCTGGGCGAGTGCTCCGAGCCATAGAACGGCCAGTAGCAGTTGGCCTACTCTCCTCGAACGACCATGCTCGTCTACGGCCGTCGTCTTGCTGGCGCAGGAGACTGTCGCGTCGGAGGATCGCGAGGGGGCACGAACTGCCTCTGCTGCAGGACTCGGGTGCATCATGCTGTGCTCTCCCTCCCTCCCTGGAGAAGCTGGTAGGCTTAAATGGGGGGTAGGGGTCTTTGTCCGCGCGCATGTGGCACAGGCTGGTTTCGCCGGGGCTGGTTTCGCCTGGGCTGGTTTCGCCGGGGCTGGTTTCGCCCGACGCTGGTTTCGCCGGCGCTGGTTTCGCCCGACGCTGGTTTCGCCGGCGCTGGTTTCGCCCCGCTGGTTTCGACCCGCAAGTTTCGCCGGGGCCGGTCTCGCACAGTCCGCTGCCGCCGCCGTCGTTGTCGTCGTCGCCGTCGCCGTCGTCCTCCTCCTCCTCCTCCTCCTCCTGCTCGTCCTCCTCCCTCTCCTCGCTCCTCCTCCTCCTTCCTCCTCCTCCTCCTCCTCCTCCTCCTCCTCGCCTCTTCCTCCTGGCCCTCCTCCTCCTCGTCCTCGTCCTCGTCCTCCTCCTCCTCCTCCTCCTCCCCCTCCTCGTCGTCCTCCTCCTCCTCCTCCTCCTCCTCGTGCTCTTCCTCCTCCTCCTCCTCGTCCTCCTCCTCGTCCGTGTCCTCCCCCTCGTCCTCGTCGTCGTCCTCCGCCTCCTCCTCCTCCTCCTCCTCGTCCTCCCAGGGGCCCCTTGCTCACGTTTTCTCGCAGAAGGCCTCTGGCTGCGCACCCCACAGTTCTCGAGGAGGGAACCCTAACAGTCGGGTCGGGTTGGGTCGGGCGGACCCTAACGTGCGAGTCGGGTCGGGTTTGGCGGGCGGACCCTAACGGGCAGGTCGGGTCGGGCGGGCGGGACATTAAAGTGTGGTGCATAATCGAGAGAGCACGCGAGAACCCTAAAAGCTGGGTCGGGTCGGGTCGGGCGGACCCTCGGGTTGGGTCTGGGTCGGGTCGGGAGGGCGGGACCTAATCGACTGGGCACGCGAGAGGGTCGGGTCGGGTCGGGCGCACCCTAACGGGCGGGTCGGGTCGGGTCGGGACGGGCGGACCCTAACGGGCGGGCCGGGTCGGGCGGGCGGGACATTAAAGTGTGGTGCATAATCGAGAGGGCACGCGAGAACCCTAACGGTCGGGTCGGGTCGGGTCGGGCGACCCTAACGGGCGGGTCGGGTCGGGTCGGGACGGGCGGACCCTAACGGGCGGGTCGGGTCGGGTCGGGTCCAGCGGCCCTAACCCTCTTCCCTCCTCCCTCCGTCCTGCCCTCCCTCAGCCACCTCCTCCACCTCCACCTCCACCTCCACCTTCTCCTCTCCTCCTCCTCCTCCTCCTCCTCCTCCTCCTCCTCCTCCTCCTCCCTCCCTCCTCTTCCTGCTCCTCCTCCTCCTCCTCCTCCTTCCTCCTCCTCTTCTCCTCCCTCCTCCTCCTCCTTCCTCCTTCCTCCTCCTCCTTCCTCCTCCTCCTCCTCCTCCTCCTTCTCCTCTCTCCCTCCTCCTCCTCCTCCTCCTCCTCCTCCTCCCCTCCTCCTCCCTCCACCTCCTCCTCCTCTCCTCCTCCTCCTCCTCTCCTCCCCCCCATCATCCTCGTCATTCTCCTCCTCCTCCTCCTCCTCCTCCTCCTCCTTCTCCTCCTCCTCCTCCTCCTGCTCCTTCTCCCTCCTCCTCCTCCTCCTGCACCTCCTCCAGCAGCCGGGCGAAGGCAGCCGGGCGAAAGCAGCCGGGCGAAACCGGCCTGGGCGAAACCAGCGTCGGGCGAAACCAGCCCGGGCGAAACCAGCTCCGGGCGAGACCAGCCGGGCGAAACCAGCCCCGGGCGAAATCAGCCCCGGGCGAAAGCAGCTGCTGCCGCGCATGTTGGCCTACGTTAGCCTGTGGATGTGCCAGGCAGCGTTGTGCCTGGACGTGTGATTCACGTTGTCGTTGGTCTCCCTGGCTGGCTCCCCCTGTATGTGATTCCAGGCAGCGGGGGCGGGCTTCTGTTCTCGAAACCTTACGATGCTTCGTAAGATTGGAGAGTCTCGGGGGGGAACATATGTTCGTTGCCGGTGGGGGTTGGGACCTGGATCTTCACCTGATTGATTCGACGGGATTGGCGAGAAGGGTGGAGGGAGCCTTCTCTGTGCCGCCTCAGAGGACATGCTTAGCCCCTGGCAGTCTCCCGACGATCGATTATTTTGTGGCTAGCGCTTGTTTTGCTCGCTCGTGTGATGAGGTTGAGGCCAACGTGTGTCCTGGGCCCACCGACCCCGCCGACCTCTTCAGCTCGCGCCCCGAGCCGATGCTGTGAGATGCTGTCAGGTGACGCATCGGTCGCGCCAGGAACTTGTCGCGGAACTCCCCTGCGCATGGCCCCTTTCCTCGGCCCCAGGAGTGGATTCTGGATTCTCAGATGAAGCATTGCCGAGGACGCTGCTGCTGCCGCCCTCGCGCGCCCTGTTGGAGAGGCTTGGGAGCTGCTCGCGGTGGCTTGGAACTACTTCGCCAACCGGCTCGAGCTCGAGCTCGACGCTTCCACCGGGCGGAGGTTACAAGCAATGGCTACAACGCGGCTCTTCTGAAGCCTCGATGGGTCCGGGTTTCTGTGAAATTTGAGGCTTTCAGTGAGCGCGATCAGAATTGTGGATGGATTTGGTTGGCTCAGCATCTGTCCGAAACGATAGGTGCCTTCGTGAGGCTCAGCAGGCTGTCCTAGTGCCCCGCGTTTGTGGACCGCGTTCAGATCCAGCAGGTCTCAGAGGGTACCCGCCTTCAGATCCAACGGCTGCTCGCGTTGCCGTGCCTTGGAGAAGGGCAGAGTGTTCGGCTTGATTCCATGCTCGGCCAGTCCCGTCGTTTGGTGCGCTCGTTCGCGCCAGCTGCTGGTCTCACTGCGTGGGTCGAGCAGTGCCGGGATGTTTTTCGTCGTCGGCGGACGACGACTTCAGCGAGGCGCGCAAGGCCGTCGCGAAGGTCCAGCAGGACAATTGGGGTCAATGGCAGGAGAAGACCCTGCCTGGGGGACTCTAGCCATGCGTCGACCTACTAAGCT